AGAGAAAAGATTTTCATTTTATATTTTATTTTTTTTTTTTTTTTTGGGTAAGAATAAAATGCAAAGAATGTACTCTCTCTCATTCAGCAAGCATACGTTTTCAAATCTGGATGGCATCGAATTCGATTCTTTCTTTCAGTTTTTCTTTTTTTCTTTTTTCCAAATAATAATGGCCGTGTTTAGAATATAATCACGATGATGTCAAATGATGAATCGATGTATCGATTGTGTGTGTGTGTGTTGTGTGTGATTCGTCCTTCACCAAGACATGTCCATATAATAATTATTAATACGGAACCTAAAATCTCCGGACAAAAAAAAATTTGATTCTTGATTCTTCTTCTTTTTTTGAACAAATTCTTGTCATCAAACATCAACGATGAAACTAAAACCAAAAACTGCTGTCCTGATCAATTAAGGATTTTTTTTTTCATCGCTCCTTTTTCTCAACAAGGAAAAAATAATTAACTTGAAGCAAAAAAAAAAAATGTCAAGCAATTTTCTTCCAGTTTTTTTTGACCGCTGCCAATTATGATTTGACATCGAGAATGATAGTCCTTGTTGACGCGATGATGATCACCCACAACAAAGATTGGTTTGATTTTTTTTGAAAGACAAACACGTCCCATATCGTATCATATCCGAATGTGAAAACCGAAACCAATTTAGAATCACACACACACTTTACGAGTGACCCTTTTCTTGCTCACTAAAAGAATCGATAACATCATTCGAATCCGCATCCTTATTCGCATCATCAAATATCGTTTTGGCAAACAGCCAAAAACTTGAACAAAATTTAAATGAATGAAACTTTTAAAAAGTCAAAGAATTGCTGTCCATAGCATTATGATAATTTTTGTTGTTGTTGTTGTTGTTGTTCTGGATGTGGCGGTTAATAACCATCATAAATATCATTGTTGTTGTTGTTTTTCTTTTGCCAACAACAACAACAACAACAACAACAACAATAGGCCTAATACCTTGTCAATGTGAGAAAAAAAAATGTGAAAGTGAAAAACTGAACGAGAATGGCCGGTTCAAAAGAGAGCAAAAAAAGTCTAATTTCAAATGACTGAATGGATGGTTGGTGGAAGAAGGAAAAAAAACGTGACCAAGCTATCAATAGTCTTCCTTTTTTTTCCTGAATTGGTTATTCTATTTTCTATTTAGAAAATTGAAGAAAATTGGCAAAAATAAAAGTCAATTTTGATTCTGATTTTGGATCTTATTGTGTTGAGACGCACACACACACAGAACCAGAATTCGATTAAATTTATTAACCGATTCAATTCGATATTCCATCATGATCAATGATGGAATCGAAATTTTTCTTGATTTTCTAATTGTTCCACCAAACCAAGCATCATTTCAAGGCTTGTTCTTCCACCACCACTGCTGGCCATTCTTAAATCTAATCAACTGGAAAATGAAAAACGAAAAAAAACGAAGAAAAATTGAAAAGACTGAAAATTGAGCAAACCGAACCGATGGCCAGCAATGCTGATTGTCGAAAAATTTTTTTCTCTCTCTGGTTTCTTTGCATGTGTGTTTTTCCCGAAATGTTTCCCCCCGATTTGTTTTTCTTCGATTTCGGAATATCCCGAAAAACCCAAAACCAGCTTATATAAAGCGACGATCAGCTCAAATCTTTAATTCGATTGGACAACTGTTTTTCTGTTTTTCTGTTTTTCTTCTGTTTTTCTCAAACTTGATCACATAGATTGATTTTTCTTCTTCTTCTCTGTGGCGATCTTGTTTTTTTTTTCAATTCGTTTCCAAATTCTGTATTTTTTGTTTGTTTGTTTTCAATTCATTTCATTTTCATTTGCTTAACATCCACATACACAGATTCTGCAGTTTAGTGATTCAGTTTTTTCCCCTCCTCCTTCGACCAAATCACTGTTAAGACATCTTTTCTTGTTTTTGTGTTTTTGCATCCCACCACTAAATTCATTTCATTTCATTTCCCTCGACCATAACCATCATCCACACACACACCATACATACATACATACACAATCGACTTGGGACTTAAATATCGGTGGTAACCGTGTATCGTAACCATAACGTAAACGTCAGCCAAAAAAAACAAAAACAAAGATGATGGCTCAAGATGCGAACCAAACAACCAGCCAAACATTCATATGAAAATGATTTACCCATATATAATCAAAGACAGGCAACATAGGAAAAAAATGGGAAAAACGAAAAAACGAAAAAATGATTGAAAGCCTACGGTCGCGGGAAAAAAACTGAAACAAAAAACAAAACAAAACTTGCCATACAAATCGATTCATAGCTTTTTTCTTTTCTTTTCTTTTCTTTTTTTTTCATTTTTCAGTTTGTTTGAATCACTTTTTTTTTGTTGAAACACAAACATTCGAATTGCATGCATCACCCCCCTTAAACTATTCTCATCCATCCATCCATATTTAGATTGAAATAGGAAAAAAAATAGAATTAGAGAAAGAAAAGAATAAAAAATTTTTGCTCAAAAATTCATATTCCAAGAATTCTTTTTCGAAAAATCGTTGTCGTGATTCCGTGTGTCTGTGCTTGTGTATATTTGCTTGATTAAGGTCGTCGTCATCATCGGTATCAACGACTATCATCAAAAACGACTTTCAAAGCTTCAGGCTTTCACCTTAGTCACAATTTTGTTTTGTTTTTTCATATAGATAATGATGATGATGATGATGATGATCAGGATATGAACCCAATCTCAATGACATCATTCATTTCAAAACAAAACAAAAACAAAACAAAAAAATTATTGTTTGGGATGTTGGAACCAAAAAAAAAAAAAAAAACGGGAGAATGGAGACAAATTGAATTATTCGGAGAAGCAAACTGTATTTGCCTTCCTTTCATTTCATTGTTGTTGCCGAATCCAAATTGAAATGAACCTCGCCGTCGACTTGGAGAGAGAGAGAGAGAGAGAGAGA